CAAATCAAGAACAAACTGCCATTCACAATTGCCACAAAGAGAATAAAATACCTAGGAACACAACTAACAAGGAATGTAAAGGACCTCTTCAAGGAGAACTACAAGCCACTGCTCAATGAAATAAGAGAGGACACAAACAGATGGAGAAACATTCCATGTTCATGGTTAGGAAGAATCAATATCGTGAAAATGGCCATACTGCCCAAGGTAATTTATAGATTCAATGTTACCCCCATCAAGCTACCAATGACGTTCTTCACGGGACTGGAAAAAAACACCTTTAACTTCATATGGAACCAAAAGAGAGCCTGCATAGCCAAGTCAATTCTAAGCCAAAAGAACAAAGCTGGAAGCATCACACTACCGGACTTGAAACTATACTACAAGGCTACAGTAATCAAAACAGCATGGTAATGGTACCAAAACAGAGATATAGACCAATGGAACAGAACAGAGGTCTCGGAGGCAACGCAACATATCTACAACCATCTGATCTTTGACAAACCAGACAAAATTAGCAAGGGGAAAGGATTCCCTGTTCAATAAATGGTGTTGGGAAAGCTGGCTAGGTGGGTAGGTGGGTGCTGAACAATGAGAACACGTAGACACAGGGAGGGGAGCACTACACACTGGGGTCAGTTGGGAGGAAATAGGGGAGGGACTGTGGGGGGTGGGAAGCTGGGGAGAGATAGCAAGGGGAGAGATGCCAGATGTAGGTGATGGGGAGGAAGGCAGCAAATCACACTGCCACGTGTGTACCTATGCAACAATTTTGCATGTTCTTCACATGTACCCCAAAACCTAAAATGCAATGAAATAAATAAATGGGGAAAAAAAAAAAAGAAAATGTGCATTCCTCTCCACCACATAGTGACAGAGCATCAAAAATACATGTAGAATGATAGTTACAGCACAATATACAAAGATTTAAGTATGGAGTAGGCATATTACAACTAGAGTTCCTGACTTTGAAGAAAGAAAAGTTCAACTTGAGAGAGACTTGGAGGGTCATTTGCTGCCACTTGTTTTTTTCTCTTGATCAATTATTTGGTGCATTCTAATTTTTTACTTATGAAAATCTCTTGTGTAAAATGGGATTTCTAAATTCATAATTGTGTGTAGAAATATATTATTTCTCTATCTAAACGATAGAAGTTCAGGAAAACATTCTACAATCTTTGTTCCTTAATCAACCCAAATCTATCTATCTGTTTTCGAAGTGGCACAGAGATTGAGAAACTAATCTATTCATATACCATAGATATGGATACTTCTGAACTAGGGTTAGCATATAGGAAATTGCTTAATGAATGTAATAAGCTCTGGGATGTAACTTTTTCTATTGACTTTAAGATGATTTGCACTTATTGAATAAAGTGGGAAATCAATGCGAAGGAAGCAATGACTAAGAAGTGATATAAAAATGTATCTATCCTTGAGAATTGGAACAAATATTCATAGTCAAAGGAATCTGTATGTTGTATGTTGTGCTTTCACATGTGCAAGTTGATCCATTTAACTCAATATGTTGGGGCTTATAATTTCATCATGATCACCTTAAATATGTTTGAAAACAAATGTATATAGATACCTCCATTTATTTTTCTAACCATCATGTTTACATGTTTCTGTCAAAATCAGATCTTAATGTGATTTTATTTAATAGAGTATGATATGTATTAGCATGTATAACTTTATCATATAAGTACCATAGATTCTTAGCTAAAAATTTCGTTTTTGACTCCAAAGTAGAAACCTGATTTCTGTACGTCGAGTTTTAAAGATAAACAAAAACCTGGCAATACTCACCTTTAAAAGGAAAAGTAGATGAGGCCTCCCAGCCCCTGCTGAGGCATTAAGTTACTTTCGCAGGATCATACTTTTAATTCTTCTGATTAATTTAATGAATTTATCAGGTAATTTATCTGACTCCACATTATAAAATAGTATTATCAGTTTCTGTGCCATAAAATGCTAGGAAATGCCACGTTAGGTTTAGGAGCTTTGGATGAGTCATTTAATCTTTAGATAATAGGGCTAAAGTAGATAAATACTCCAGCTATATAATGTCGTGGTTACTGAATGTGAAATTTGGAAAGCATCTCGTTTTCCAGAGCTCTATCCTAGCATCTCAGCAATTTCACTCTGCTTCTTCTGTGGTTTCAAACTTTGGTTCCTGTTTTTCAGCAAGCACCTTCACATTTTTTATATCCTAGCATCCAAATGAAAAAAGAAAGATCAAAGATAGTGGGGAAAACTTAGTGCCAAAAAGGGAAAATTTCCTTTCTGTTCCTGAAGTCCCACAGTGGCACATTCTCTAAATCTGGCCATTAGAGTAAACTCCAGGAGGTAAAGATAGAAGAGGACAGATTTCATGCCTTTGTTCTTTTATTTCTCTATTTCTGCTCATCACAAAGGTGTGAAATTTATATTAGACAGCAAGGAGTGGAGTGAATAAAAGCATAAATTTCGAATGAGCCCTTTTTCAAAGTGTGGAAATTTTTGTTTTATTCACTCAGAAATGATTCAGACTTTATATGAATATTGATGAAAAGATCATAACGTAAGTTATGGTAATAATTATATAGTGATAAAATTAAAGTAAATACAAAATATTTTAATGAATATTATCATGACAGAGTCAAGTGATAAAATGAATGAAAACAAAAATGTTCTTTCTATTAGATAAAATAATGGCAATTATTATCAGTGTCAAACTTTCATTGAAGGTTACAGAAAAAATGAAGACGTGCAGAAATAAGAAAGTGGAAGTGTCAAGAAACCTAGATGCCGATTACAGCGACAGTGATGATAATGAATTAATCCAAGAAAGAAGGAGCAGAAAACCTGATAATCCTCAATTCTCCAGGCAGAAGAGTGAAGAGTATAATAGGTAAGCCTATAGCAATATTTAATAATATAAAACATCTTAAGTATAATAAATCTGTGTTAAGGATTTTATATATGTTTCATGCTTATATATGTTAAGAATTTTCATTATAGCATCATCATATCAAAAAGCTGGAGATAGTCTAAAATCCCATTAATAAGGAAATAGGTAAATCATCATACCCATTAAATAACGTAGTATGCAACCCTCTTTTTAAAATTAGGTTGGATCTATAGTATACTGATTACTTCATCAGTAATGTATATTTAAAACATTTAGTTTGATAACATATCTTAAGTAAATTTTGTCAGAATATGACATTGTAATATCTTGATACTTGTAATATCTACTGAGTTGCAAAAGGAAACTACGTGCTACCTTGGCACTTTATGTTAGCAACAAAATTGCTAGTTATGACATTTGTTTCTTGTTCTCAGTGCATGAGTGCTCAAATACTGATTCTCACAATAATCTGAATATTGTTGAGGGATGCACATGAGGATCTGTATTCCATGTAAATATTCAGTGTATTGATAAAACTTGTTAAAATATTTCAAAGGATCTTTGATCTACCGAGTCAGGAGTTCACCCAATTTTTTCCTGTAAAGAGTAACTACTTTAGGCTTCGTGGACCAGAAGGTCTCTGACATCTTTCATAGACAACAGATAAATAGGTAGCACTGTGTTCCAAGAAAACTTTACTTACAAAAACAGGCAGTGGGCTGAATTTGGCCCACAAGTACTGATTTGCTGACTCCTATGCCAAAACCAAGGTGCTGCTAATGCAGTGAACCTCCTCTTTCGAAGCACTTTAAATGCATCCGATTATCCTTTCAAAAGATATTTTAGTATGCACAACACCATATTTTACAACAGTGACTTCCTATTATATAATTTATAAAATTCGGTAGACAAAATAAGATTTGAATTTTTGCCTTTTTTCATCTTAAAGAATTTATTATTTTAATATGACTAACCATTTTGTATATTTGATGAGGATAAAATATCTCAGAGTTGAGTGATTTTTCTCAAGTAAGAAATACTGCCCTTTAGTCTTTCTGTGGTCTTTATAAGCATGACCAAAATGATAACCACCTTTATAATCTAGAAATGTTCAAGGGGTGTTTTAGTTCTATAATTTTATGATGTCATGATGTTATTTAGTACCTTGATCTGACTTGCCATATATGTCTGGCTTGACATATATGTGTGTGTGTGTGTGTGTGTGTGTCTGTGTTTGTGTGTGTATAATTTTTAAAAGCTTTTAAGATGTTAAAACATACTGTGTAACTAATCATTAGTCACTATTAATCATTATGAAATGATTGTAAATGTCCTTAAAATTAACCTGTCTGTACTCATGGACTCAAGTTTCCTTTCCATTCACTCTTGAACTCACCACCTTAATTTTCACTCTCACCACTCCTTCAAAATTATTCTCAAGGTTGTCACTGATTTTTCACTGTAATACATCTAGACATAATTTTTTTATATCTCACTTTATGTAGCTTATCAGCAATACTTGACCCAATGGAAAACTCTCTCCTCTATAACACTTTCTTCACTGACCCTCAGAATCTCACTCACTCGACTAGATTTTCGTCCTGACTTTCTAGTCCATCCATCTTAGCCTGTTTTGCTTACGTCTTCTCATCTTCTACCTTTTATAGGTTGAAGTGACCCAGGGCTCAGTCCTTGAGGTTTTTTCTTGTGACTTTTACTAGCTTGTATATGCTAATAATTTTCAAATTTATACCTCTAGCCCATTTCAGTCCTATATATCAACCTGTCTACTTGATATCTCTCCTTGATTAACTATTGGGTACAGCAAATTTATCAGGTCCAAAGTCTAGCTACCGATGGTCTTTCTCTTACCTGCCCCTCGTGTAGTCTTTTGCTGTTCCATTAATCACAACTCTTGCAAATGCTCTGCCCAAAACCCTGCTGTCATCCTTGACTCACACATGCTTTCTCTGTCTGCCTCCCCTGACCCCCACCTCTGACACTCCACAGCTAAGATGTTAGCAGATCTGGTCAGGACTAACTTCACAATATATCCAAAAACCAGTCACATCTTTCATGTCTAAGCAACTCCACTATCATCTGATCGGCCATCTAGATTAGCATAATAGACTGCTGATTGGTCTTCCTGTTTCTCTGTGTTTAATCCTGTTTTCATCAATTCTTAACCCAGTGAACCTATTGAAGCATGTCAGATTATGTCACTCTTTTGGTTAAAAACTTCCAGTTGCTTCCCATTTCACTCAAAATATATGCCAAATTTTCTCCTAATACTCAAAAGGCAGCACAGGATCTGACCTCTTATTTTCCTGATTTAAGCTTTTGCCTTTCTAGTCTGGTTTATCGTGGTGTACAGTTTTAAACAAAAATACTCACTTAAAGTACAGTTTGATATGTGTTCATTCTGACAATTTTACCTGGCAATTATATGCTCTTTATGGACTCTTTTGGCTCTTTTTAATGAACTATACTCTCTATATTAATAGTTTTCTAATTAGGGAGAAAAGCCCAATATTGTGGTCACTCACTATTCTATTACTGGTAATTATGATCATTTCAATCATGGTACAAGGGATCATAGGAGTTGCAAACTTCACTGGTATTTTATTAGGAATAATAAAATATTCATGTGGTAAATGCAATGGATGTAAAAATTCTTTTCAAAGGATTATGAGCCTTTAGCTTCTGAAATAAACAGATGAAAGTTGGATTTGGCCAGGTGTGGTGGCTCACTCCTGTAATCCTAGCTTTTTGGGAGGCCAGGGCAGGTGGATCATTTGAGGTCAGAAGTTCAAGAACAGTCTGGCCAACATGGTGAAATCCCATCTATACCAAAAATACAAAAATTAGCTGTCAGTAGTGGCGCGCCTGTAATCCTAGCTACTTGGGAGGCTGAGGCAGAAGAATTGCTTGAGCCTGGAAGGCAGAGGTTGCAGTGAGATGAGATATTGCCACCGCACTCCAGTCTGGGCAACAGAATGAGACCCTGTCTAAAAAAAAAAAAAAGTTTGGTTTATTGCTTTCTCTAGTAAGAACTCTGTGCTGGTCAGGCACAGTCTCTTATAATGTAGCAGCTACTAAGCCTTATAAAAGGTTTGTGGAATGGTGAAGTTGAAGGCTTGGCTGACTCTCATAGGCGTAACTGGGTTGACATCATCTGGAGCGATGTGGTTATCTGTCTAAGACTGTTGTGGATTAGTTGGCACTTCCAGGCATGCTGATTGGAATGAGTTTGTCTCTGGATGTCTTCAGAGGCAGGTGGCTGACATTCATTGGTTGGTGTTAGTGAGGCCAGTGGTCATTGATTGACTAGATTAAAATTTGGTTCTGGGTGGCTACCTGTTACCATGGCTACAGGTCAGTTTTCCTTAGTTTGTGGCAATGTTAATCAGATGTTTTCTGTTTGAAAGTTGAGTTCTATCAACTATGTTCAAATGAACTCTATTTTATATTCCAGAATTATATACTTATTTTTTAAGTTTGGATCAAGAGAAATTGTTTGATCAATGATCTCAGAAAGATAGTTTTTAGAAGCTTAGTCTTAACCAGAAGACTCATCTACATATATTTTTGGTAAATAATTGCTGGATTTATTTTTGTTTTTTGTGTTTTTAGGGGCTCAGGCTGAACTCCTAACATAATAATCTCCAATGGGAAATTTCAGCCTTTTTGTAAATTTATGTAGGTATATGATAGTGATATTCGTGTGTTTACAATTTTCTGCTGATAAATCCAGCTTTTCAAATTAGGAATAGATACCACACTGTAAGTATACAAAAGTTTCTAAATCATTCTATTTTCAAACAAAATTCTAATTAATCAGAATAGTGCTATTTTTGAACTATATATAAAGACATATAGGTATTTTAAAAGCAAGTGTTTTTTTCCCTTTATGGTAATTTCACAGTTTCTTTTAGGTTATATGTGCCTCATAGTATTCTGAAAACTTAATTTAAATGAAACACGTTAAAACAATAACTATGAAACAAATCCAGCTATGACCCCATGTTTAAGAGTCATTGCCTTGCAGGCAGGGAGCTCCAGCATTTTAGCGTAGCATTCAAGTTTAGCGTAGCATTCTTTTCTCAGTGTTTGCTTTCATGTATTTTACGTTTGACCTTTCAACTTCCCAGGAAACAACTGGATGCCATGTGCTTAATCCCTGTGCTCACATTCTATTCTCTATATAAAATGGATTTCTCCTACTGTTTTTGTTTTTGTTTTGGCCTGGTGAGCTCCTCTTGTCTTTTGCCTCTTCCATAATGTCTTTCTCATGCTCACATATAATTTTTTCTGGTAGTCTTCCAGAAGAATAATGATATCAGTTTTAGTGAAGTGGTTAAGTTTGAAGGAGGATAAAATCTCTAATTTTCTTATCTCCTTGTGAAGGAATATTAGCAGTGATTACTTTCTCTGGAAATAAAATAGTGTAGACAGCCTAATCTAGAGAATATTCAACTGTGTCAATGCTGCTGGAAGACTGATTAAAACAAAGAGTTTCAACTGGTTGCCATGGAACCCTGACTAAGCACAGACAAATCTTGAGAGAACTTTGACTGCAAAAGGGAGTAGAGAAATGGGTAACAAGTAAAAGAAGAAGAATACAATATTCAAGTGACTTGTTTCTTTTTCAATTTTAAAATGGAAGCCGTTAGAGTATTCTTGTTTGCTGTTCGGAATGATCCATTAGAGAAGAAATGTGTTTTTGGAATTTAGTTTTGTTTGCATGTCTGAGAATTGGAAAGTTTTCTTTTAAATATCTATAGTAAATCAATTGTTTGTACAGTTTCTACTCATGTATAGTTTTATCAGAAGAGGTGTTTTTTCAGAATTCATTCAGGAATGGAATATTTTAATGTAATGGTACATGAAAATGATGACCTAAAGTTAAACTCACATTCATATATTTTTAGAAATTCTATAATAAACATACAAACACTTGGTCATATTGGATAGAATTTAAATATGCCTTGATGATGTATCACAGTACCTTTGAAAGTAGCATCACAAATAACTGTGCCAAGGTAGTCTAAAATAACAGGTGTGTCACTTTTACGGTTGTTCAGATGCTGGGAAGGGGAAGCTTTCTAATTAATAATAGAAAAGCAAACTACTGAAAAAATAATTACAGACTGTTACTTATGGACTGTATAGTTCAAATGTAAAAAATAAATGTTTTTTGGGCCAACAGTGTCTTTGACATGTCTTGTACACTCAATAAGTTTCAGTTGAATGCATAAATAAATAGTCAAATGGATGAATGAATGTTTTTTGCTGAATTTCTTTAGAGAAACCAAATTTTCAGTTTATTAAAAGCAGGTTTCCAAAGCAGCATAGATATAAAATCTTATTTAAAAAAATTGCAAGATTCAGAGATTATTATGTGTAATCATAGAAAGAAATGGAAAGATAACGTGAATTCATCTGCTATTATATTACTTGTAAACACTTGAAAATTAATATTACTTTTATAGTGTATTATAGAGTATCCTGAAACACATATTTTGGAGCCAGAGTTCATGGGTTTGAATGCTTAATCTGCTACTGACAAGTTTTATGAGCTTGGGCAAGTTATATGACCTTTCCATGCCTACTTTCTTCCTTTATAAAATGCTCGGTATGTTATCTATCTCACAGAATTGTTGGGAGGATTCAAGTGACTTAAACACTTGTACAGTGTTTAGAATAGTACACAGTACCTGCACAGCATGTCCTGAAAAGCTAATGTCATAATTTTAAAAAGGGTTTCTGTTACATAAGTAATATTTATCAAATAAGTCTTAGTACCAATTAAAGCTTGTTTGTATGGAAAAGGGCAATAAGGTCAGGTGCAGTGGCTCACACCTATAATCATAACAGTTTGGGAGGCCAAGGCAGGTGGATCACCTCAGTTCAGGAGTTCAAGACTAGCCTGACCAACATGGTGAAACCCCATCTCTACTAAAAGTACAAAAAATATAAAAAAATGAAAAATAAGTACGTGTGGTGGCAGGCACTTGTAATCCCAGCTACTCAGAAGGGTGAGCTAGGAGAATCACTAGAACCATAGGGCTGGAAGTTGCAGTGAACCGAGATCATGCCATTGCACTCTGGCCCAGGCAACAGAGCAAGACTCTCTCAAAAAATAAATTAATAATAAATAAATAAATAAATAAATAAATGGGGGCAACGAGAAAAAGCTAGTGTGTGTGTGTGTGTATATATATATTTTTTTTCTATCAAATAATGCAAGTAATATGTGTTTTCTTTTTCTTTGGCTGTCAGAAAACTAATGCTACCCTTTCCATTTACTTTATCCCCTTGTAGAAAATGTATTTTACATCACCTGTGAAATATTACCTGTAAACTTTATGAATAGGAGAGAGAAATTATAAACATAGAGGTTTTATATAGAAAATAGTTATAGATAGTCTTTGTATTTTACATATTTACCATTTGCCTGATTGTAACTTTTTTTTTTTAGGCTTGCAGAGAAAACATCTAATAAAGAGAACAAGGTATTGTAAAAGTAAATTGTCAAGAATGTTGTTGAAAATCTCTTATTAAAGGTCACTTAAAAAAACAGAAAATCTTTTGTAGTAAAGATACTGGCTTTGAAAAAGCAGCAGTAACAATTCATAAAGGTACCCTCTTAACCAAAGTCTATTAACTATTTTAAGAAGTACTTTGGTTTTGCTCATAAAAAAAGATGAATAATTCCCACTGGTGTACATTTAATATATGCTATAAATATTTGGGGGACATTTTCAAACAGTGTTATTTATTTTATAGGTTAAAAGACATCTATATTTCAAGGATGACCCCGATGACATAATTTGGTCATCTGAAACAACCTCAGAGGTTGATGAGTTGCCTTACTCTGATTATAAGAATTTTATGTTACTCATTGAACAACATAGAATGGAGTGTAAAGGTAGGACCAATGCATAAATTTAAGGCTTTTTCCCTAGCCTATAGTAATGTTTGCACACATTGCTTGGCACTGTGTCATAGATCACTGATGTGTTATAGGGATGTTCATCTCAGAAATATGCTTTTTGTGAATATAGAATGAGAACTGCTCTATCTTGTATACTCTTAGCCAAAGAGCTGTGATCATTCCACTGTACCTTTCTCCATGTGAATGACACTCCCAATCTATTTGTTGACTCTGCTTCTCTCCTATGCCTTTACCTAGGGTCAGGCCATTATCTCGTATGTTGAATACTGTGATAACTCTTTTTTAACTCTTTTCCCTATTGCTCCACCTTCCAAAACCATGGTCTGTTCTGCAACAATAATTATATACATTTTTAAAATTTATGTCTGATCATGTTACCTGCTTGCTTAACACCCAGCTGCCACTTGTCATTGCTATAAGATAGACATGTCATACTCTAGCTTTATACTACATCATTTCATATCCTTGTTTCTCTCCACATCACAGCCAGTGCCCCAGGTGTTTGCTCCTACAATCCTTAGCTTTAGTGAGGTATAGTTGATATATGTTAAAGTGCACATATGTAAGATGTAAAATTTAATAAGTTTTTTGACAGGTGTATACACCTGTGAAACTATCACCATAATGAACATAGTTATCTTATCCATCACCCACAAAAGTGTCCTGTGCTGCTTTATGTTCCCTTTTTAGAAAAACTGCTAAATTGTTTTCCAAAACATTTGTACCATTGCCATCAACAGACTAGGACAGTTTCCATTTCTGTGTTGTCACACTAAGTATTGCAGTATTTATTTGTAGCATTCTCATGGGTGTGGATTTTGTGCATGATCCTAATGACTAAACATGTTGAACATCTTTCCATGTTTTATTTGCCATCTGTATATCCTCTTTGGTGAACTGTGTTTTCAAATCTTTTTCTATTTACAATATTAGGGTGATGTTTTCTTGCTTGTTGAATTTTAAGGGTTATGGACACTATTACTTTACAAGAACATTTTTTCCAGTTTGTGGCTTGAATTCATTTTCTTAATAGTGTCTCCTGAAGAACAGAGGTTTTTAATTTTGATGAACTTTGTTTAGTTACAGAGTTTTCATTTTATGTCGTATCTAAGAAATCTTTCCTAGCACAAGTAATTTTCTCAAAATTTTTACAAAAATTTTATTCTATGCTTCATTCTAGAAGTTTTATAGTTCTAGGTCTTACATGTAAATGTATGCATCATTTTGAGTTCATTTTTATATATAGAATGAGGTATGGATTCAAGTTAACTTTTTAGATATGAACAGCCAGTTGTTTGAGTACCATGTATGGAAATGGCTATCCTTTCTCTACTACATTGCCATCCTGCCTTTGTCAGAAATAAACTGGTTGCCTGTATGTCATCTATTTGCCTGTGGACTCTGTTGAATTCTATTAATTTACAGATGCTCCTCAAATTATGGTAGGGTTACTTCTGATTTCAGTCAAAAGCTAAGTGATACTTCATTAAACTCATTATAAAGTCACTAAGTTAAACCACCTTAAGTTGGGAACTGTCTGTATTTGACTTTATATAGGTTGAACATCCCTAATTCAAAAATCCCAAATCTGAAATACTGTAAAATCCAGTGTGTTTATTGTCAACCCGATCTCACAAGTGGAAAGTTCCATATCTGAGCTCATGTACACAAACTTTGTTTCATGCAAAAAGTTATAAAATATTTAAAATTACCTTCAGAGGCTAGGCATGGTGGTTCATGCCTATAATCCCAGAACTTTAGGAGGCTGAGGCGGGAGGATCACTTTGGGTCAGGAGTTCGAAATCATTCTGGCCAACATGGCAAAACCCCATCTCTACTAAAAATACAAAAATTAGTTAAACGTGTTAATGCATACCTATAATCCCAGCTACTCAGGTAGCTGAGGCAAGAAATCGCTTGAACTTGGGAGGTGAAAGTTGCAATGAGCTGTGATCTCACCACTGCACTCCAGCTTAGGTGACAGAGCAAGACTATCTCAAAAATTAAAATAAAATAAAATTACCTTCAGGCTTTGTGTATAAGGTGTATATGAAAAATAAGCATATTTTGTGTTTGGGCCTGGGTCCTATCTCCTAGAGATATCATTATATATATGCAAATATTCCAAAATCCAAAATCTGCAATACTTCTGGTCCCAAGCACTTTGAATAAGGGATGTTCATCCTGTACCAGTGGCACATTGTTTTGATTACTATTGATTTATAATAATTGTCATAATCAGTTTTCCAATTTTGTTATTTGTTCTGTTTTGGCTATACTAGAACCTTTGCATTTCTACATGAACTTTAGAATTGACTTGTCAACTTAAAAAAAAGCCTACTGGCTTGTTGGACATTAGGTTGGGACTGTGTTATATTTATAGATTAATTTATGGAGAATGAACATCTTAACAATAATGAATCTTCCTTCTCCTGAAGAAGCATATGTCTGCATTTATATAGGTCATATTTAATTTTCTCAGTAATATTTTGTAGTTTTTAGTATATAGGTTGTCTTGTGTTTTATCAGATGTTTCAGTATTTCAGTTTTTCATATAGTCATAAATATTTAAAAATTTTTATGCTGATTGCTTATCACGAATATATAGAAATTCAATTGGTTTTTGTATGTTGATTTGACATAGTCCAATCTTGCTGAACTCACTTATTAGTTCTGGTACATTCTTGGAAGATTTGATCAGATTTTCTACATAGACCAAAGACTGTCACACTTTTTCTTAAAGTAGTTTCTTATTAAAGACTTGTGGAAAAGGGAATCTCTGTTGCAGCTGATTGACACTGCTATTGCAGTATGAGAGGAGCCATAGAAAACCTGTACATTAATGAACACAGCTGTGTTCATAGACAAAGACAAGAAGCTGGCCCATTGGTTAGAGTTTACCCAAAACTGTTGTGTGATCATAGTTGTGTATAAGGACAGATTTATTTATTTTTTCAACTGGGATGATTTTTCTTTTACTTCCCTGACTAAACTAGCTAGAATCTCCAGAAAAATGCTACATAAAAGCAGTGAAAGCAAACATTCTTGTGTTCTTCATCTTCTGGGGAACATATTCAGTTTTTCACCATGATGCATGTTAGCTGTGGGTTCATCATAGATGCTCTTTATCATGTTGATGAAGGTCCCTGGATTATTACTTTCCTGAGAGTTTTTCCTTTTTAAAAAAGCAGATTCAGCCATATCCTGGCAAAGGACATGAACTCATCGTTTTTTGTGGCTGCATAGTATTCCATGGTGTATATGTGCCACATTTTCCCTGTCCAGTCTATCATTGATGGGCATTTGGGTTGGTTCCAAGTCTTTGCTATTGTAAACAGTGCTGCAATGAACGTACGTGTGCATGTGTCCTTATAATAGAATGATTTATAATCCTTTGGATATATACCCAGTAGTGGGATTGCTGGGTCAAATGGAATTTCTTTTTCTAGGTCGTTGATGAATCGCCACATTGTCTTCCGCAATGGTTGAACTAATTTACACTTTCACCAACAGTGTAAAAGTGTTCCTATTTCTCCACATCCTCTCCAGCATCTGTTGTCTCCAGATTTTTTAATGATCGCCATTCTAACTGGCGTGAGATGGTATCTTAATGTAATTTTGATTTGCATTTCTCTAATGACCGGTGATGATGAGCATTTTTTCATATGTTTTTTGTCCTCATATGTGTCTCCTTTTGTAAAGTGTCTGTTTATATCCTTTGCCAATTTTTGAATGGGTTTGTTTGTTTTCTTGTAAATCTGTTTTAGTTCTTTGTAGATTTTGGATATAAGTCCTTTGTCAGATGGGTAGATTACAAAAATTTTTTTCCCATTCTGTTGGTTGCCAGTTCACTCTAATAATTTTATCTTTTGCTGTGCAGAAGCTCTGGAGTTTACTTAGATCCCATTTGTCTCTTTTGGCTTTTGTTGCCAATGCTTTTGGTGTTTTAGTCATGAAGTCCTTGCCTATGCCTATGTCCTGGATGGTTTTGCCTAGATTTTCTTCTAGGGTTTTTATGATGTTAGTTCTTATGTTTAAGTCTTTAATCCATCTGGAGTTAATTTTAGTGTAAGGTGTCAAGAAGGGGTCCAGTTTCTGCCTCCTGCATCTGGCTACCCAGTTTTCCCAACAACATTTATTAAACAGGGAATCATTTCTCCATTGCTTGTTTTTGTCAGGTTTGTCAAAGATCAGATGGTTGTAGATGTGTGGCATTGCCACCAAGGCCTCTGGTCTGTTCCATTGGTCTATATCTCTCTTTTGGTACCAGCACCATGCTGTTTTGGTTACTGTAGCCTTGTAGTATAGTTTGAAGTCAGGTAGCATGATGCCTCCAGCTTTGTTCTTTTCACTGAGAATTGACTTGGTTATGCTGGCTCTCTTTTGGTTCCATATGAAATTTAAGGTGTTTTTTTCCAGTTCTGTGAAGAAGGTCATTGGTAGCTTGATGGGGATTACGTTGAATCTATAAATTACTTCGGGCAATATGGCCATTTTCATGATATTGATTCTTCCCAACCATGAGCATGGAATGTTTCTTCATCTGTTTGTGTCCTCTCTTATTTCCTTGATCAGTGGTTTGTAGTTCTCCTTGAAGAGGTCCTTTTCATCCTTTTTTCGTTTTATTCCTAAGTATTTTAGTTTGTTCTTTATTTGGCTCTCTTTAACTCTGTTATTGGTATATAGGAATGCTTGTGATTTTTGCACATTGATTTTGTATCCTGAGGCTTTACTGAAGTTTGCTTATCAGTTTAAGGAGATTTTGGGCTGAGATGATAGGGTCTTCTAAATATACAATCTTGTCATCTGCAAATAGAGGCAGTTTGATGTCCTCCTTTCCTAATTGAATACACTTTCTTTTTCTTGCCTGTTTGCTCTGGCTAGAACTTCCGATACTATATTGCATAGGAGTGGTGAGAGAGGGCATTCTTGTCTAGTGCCAGGTTTCAAAGGGAATTCTTCCAGTTTTGCCC